TAAGCATTTGCAATTTTATACAAGACGATAGGAAAATAGTGCAAAGCTGCATTATGTCGGCATTCTATCCTGTCAAACGTGAGGAGAAATTATGTGAAAGGCCGAGTGAACATTTTACAGCCGTTGACCCGCATCGATAATTTGATTTTCACATTGTGATGCGCGGAAAATATAACGAATAAACTGTATATGACTTTCATGTTTTATTTAAAAATTTTTCTAAATTTGTTATGTATTCTCTGTTTTTCCTTCGCTTGACGGAGGATCGGAGAGGAAAGAAGGATAACTCACTATAGGACTGTAACATTATTTACCATAAAGTATGCAATTGAAATGAACACACGATCGTCATGATGCTACTGTTTATCGTAGAAAATCACACCGCATACGTTCAGAGCCTGACGAGAAGAAGGAACTAAAATAGCAGACACACGATTGCGTAATTCTCCGTTTGCATGATAAATGGACAGAAAAAGAGAAAGAGAGAGAGAGAGAGAGAGAGAGAGAGAGAGAGAGAGAGAAAGAGAGAGAGGACAGTAAAAAAAGCGCCGGCGTTCGAGTATTTCTCGCGCAAAGCATGATTCGGTGGCTGGGAGTGCGTATAATGAGGACGTTGTCGGAAACGTACGCGGTTGCATCGCCTCGTCTCTCGGCTAAACGCGAAAGCAACGATTCTGCTTCTGCAGAGAGCTCAGGACTGATCTAGCCAAAGTTCATCGACGCTTAATCGATTAAACAAATTGCCCGCCACTGTATAATAAATAATCTATATCTACGAGCTGTGCAAAGATATAGGATACCAACTGATAACTCAAGTAACGTAGAACTCCTTGATTCAAATCAAACAACGACAATAATGAAGGAAAATTCTTATGGTCTAACATATTTTATTATCTAACTGTTCTGTTGTATAAATTCTTTCTAGATACGTTATGAGAACTACTTTATTACACATAGAAAGAACGTACTTTGACTTTAAAAGGTAACTTATGCTTATCTTCAATGTGTGTGTTATCTTTAATAAATAATATCTTCTTGATAGTAATCTTAAATTTTACTTATCACAAATTTCAGAAGAGCGCTTATTGTTGTGCACTGAAGAGAAAAATTTGTTCTCTTTGCAGGAATATTACGAAATTTGAAAGAAGAAGAAAAAATTGGATCGGCTCTATGTAATAAGCAAGCCGAATCTTTATTTTTACTTCATATTCTCGATTGACATTCTAAACTTACCAGGTTGCAGAATGTATTTTGAACAAATTTGATGCTTATGAGAAAAACTTGTGATATATTTACAGTTGTATATTTTACGGGTACAGTGAGCTCGCGAAAATTGCGCGTTATTAAGTGCGAAAAAAAGTCAGTCTGCCATTGGGATTACTGGCCGCGAAAAGGTTGACCAAATAAAGCGAAACTAAAGGAGACACGTGGGTGCGTATGTTTGTCGATAAATTTAGAGGAGAAAGCACACGAGGCTGTCCGGAGCCAATTGTCGACTTCTCGGATCATTAGTTTCAGTTAACTATTCGTTGTCCCCGACAGATTAAGGCCCGAAGTATTATCAACGTAGGCGCGCACGAAAAACATTTAGTTGAACGTAATTAATATTAAGTGAGATTGGTAAAGCGAAATGGCTAGACAATCGGCTGGTTCTTCAGAATCTACTGAATGCATTTTTTTATTTCTGCCTACATTACAGTTAGTAACACATTGAGAGAAAAGATGACTAAGTTGAGATGACTAAAAAATAGCACTAAACTGAATGCATTGAAAATTCGTGAAAACTTCCTATTTTTCGGCCACCTAAACCAGAATCTCGCCTTGAGAACTGAATTTGCTTCGCAGGAACCAGAAATTCTGGTTCTGCCGAGCAAAACGCATTTTCGAGCAAAATAGTTGTATCATTGTCATGTTAATTCCACCAGTCGTTCCTCCCGATGCGTAATATAAAAAATGACCAGCCTCGGTACTAGCTGACTCAGATGGCTGTGCCAGTTCTTCGGCTGTTAGCGCATCGTAAACGTCGAGCAAAGCAATAATCGGCGATTTCAAGGAATCGATAATTCACGATGAAATTAAGCAAACCTCGAGTCTCCGTTTAAATCCTCTTTTCACCGATTTCCTTGAACGGGACGATTCCTGCGCGAGGAGTGAAGCGTGCTGTCGGAGGGTCTCCCGGAAGGACAACGTCGGGAGAAAATCGCAAAATCGTTCTTTCCGATCTATTTCGCTCACGTTGAAATTATATGGAAAGGAACGATTCTCTCTCTCTCTCTCTCTCTCTCTCTCTCTCTCTCTCTCTCTC